ACTGCTCCTACATGATCACTGACCCACTGTGTCTTTCAGGCCCTGTTAAACACTGTCCTGTTACCCGGGGTTCTTTCAACCCAAAGCTCTTGGTAACTTTTACTCTGTCCGAGGTTGTGTCAGGAAATAAATCAGGGGAGACACGGCGTCCGACCGATAGATGGCTGGCACAAACAGGGCAACACAAGAGTGCTTTCACTTAAAGCTAAACTTTACTTAGTCTCAAGCACTTACACATGTCCGCAACAGGTTAGTAAAAACCCCCAATCCTCGATAATTACTGAAGCTGAGTGTGGCTCTCGAGTGGCACAGCGGCAGCCTTCCGGTGGCCAAATCTTCCGTCTGCTGGTGGGGACCACAAGATGCGTCCAGAGGGAGAGTCCCTGAAGAAACCCTCCCGAAGAGTCCCCCTAACTCAAACTTTCCCTCCTAATTTATACATTAGTAATATGACATGTCACTTAAAGAAAACTTGTTAAGCAAGCAGTTTCAAAGGTCAAGCAAGAGGTTTCCTTCTGGTCATCGATTAACCAGGTGTGGTTTTGCAGAGTTTGCACGCCTTGAGGCCCTGTCAGATACATTCCTGAGGGCACATGGACAAGCTTCCTGTTCTTCTAAAATGTATGTATCAGCAATTTCAACACAAGTCTTATCAGGAAGGACATGGTGTCAAGCTGCCATTCTGTGGAACCCCAAGCCCCCTCCCCTCCTGCCTTGGTTAAGCTAAGACTGCTGCATGGCCAATTTACGGCCTGCTGACATGGCTGCTTTTAGCCATAAACAATAGTGATTTCAGGCACTTTACTGGTTTGCCAAAATCTCCCTGTACAGTCCCTCTCCCTCCTTCCCTGCTACCTCAGGGCCTGCCCTTCCACAGCCAGTGCGCCCCCCAGCCCTAGGGTTGCCAACTTTCTAATGGCAGAAAACAGAACAGCCCCCCCTTGCCCCGCCTCTTCCACCAAGGCACTGCCTTTGCCCCGCCCCTTCCCCGAGGCCCCACACCCTGCTCATTTCATCCCCCCTCCCTCCTTGCTTGCTCTGAAATCTACAAGAGAGGAAGTCTACAAGATGAAACTAAAGCAGGAGGGTATCCTGTTTATGAATAAAGACAAAGGATTGTTCTGGTATATGTTGGTGTGCAAGGAAACACACTGAGTTCTTCACTGAGGAAGCAAGTTGACAGTGTGCTTGATCATGAAATGAGGGTTCCAGCCAACCTGGCTGTAAAGCGTTATAAGGATTTGGGGTAAGCATTACACTACAAGACACGGGAGTATCTAATTAATTAAGTCTAGCCCCTAGGATGCATGTTATGATTTTATTTTATATGTAACCAGGGCCGTCCTTAGGATTTATGGTGCCCTAGGCGGGATTATTAAACTGGTGCCCCTGTGCCTGACTTGCTCTTAGCAACACAAGCATAAGCTTACAGTATTGGAAAACTTGCCACATGCACGTTATTAAAACCAGTTTAACTTAATTAAGCCCACTGTAATGCTGATGGACTAGCACTAAAGAAGTAGCGCTATAGAAAAAATTCTAATTTGACAGAATGATACAAATAATATAATTTTTTAAATTTGTCAACATTTTATTGGAAATTTATATGAAGAGGTATTGAAACAAGGATTGTTTTTAATTAAAAGCAATCTTTTTGGCTTTTTTGGCTGCAAAATCAGTAATAATGTCATTGTATGACAAAGACAAAGTGATGTCTTGTTCGATTGCAAGAATAGCAAGACCAGTCAAGCGTTCCTGACTCATTGTAGAGCGGAGATAGTTTTTAATGAGCTTTAGTTTTGAGAAACTCCGTTCTCCTGATGCTACTGTTACAGGAATTGTCAGTAGAATACGAGTGGCAATGTATACATTAGGATACATGTCAACAAGTTTGGTGGTATGAATAAACTGTACAATGTCCATCACTGATTTTGCATGTGGCAACATTGGTGACAGTGTACTCAAATCTTCGTTCAGTTCAAGTCCATTTAAATCAAAACTATCACCATGCTTCAGGAGGCTCTCTAGGTTCTTGCACTGTGACCTTGAGCTATGGGGCAGCAGCCGGAACCCCAGAGCGGCGGTGGGCTGAGCCACTCAGCCCACCGCTGCGTGCCATCAAAAATCAGCTCACATGCCACCTTTGGCACGTATGCCGTAGGTTGCCGACCCCTGCTCTACACACTAGTAAGGAGATGAGCATATTACAGTTGTTGGAGGGCTCTATTTAGCAGTAACAGGGCTATAGGAAAGTCAGTCAACATTTTTTGTTTCTCTGATGAAAACTGGCCCACTCCCTGCCCCAAACCAAACTTGTCACAAATAATTGTCAACAACTTAATTTTCTGTTTTTGGCTAAGATATTGATTTTTTTTTTAAATATTGAAATTGGATTCAGGGATTGTTAGCAAGCATTTTTGGCAAACAAAGTTGTTAAATGACAATCTAAATGGCAACACAGTACTGCTTTCATGCTTGGCTCACCCCCCAGCCTGCTGGTCCAACAGCTGCAGTAGAGGAGGAGATAGGTGGAAAGCTGCAGGACCCCAAAATCCACCTCTTAGGGTGCAGAGTGGCAACAGCAAGCCCTCAGGTCCGATCACATGCCACTGGGCACCTCCGCCAGCACCACGGACCATGGTGAAGTTAGCACAGCATCTGATCTCAGGGACGGGGCACCCATGGAGCCACAGCAGCTCATCCTGCCCTGTGCAGCTCCCCTCGGATGAGATGGATCACTGCCAGCCCAGGGGAGAGACGCGCTCCCCAGCTAGGGTGACCAGATGTCCTGATTTTATAGGGCCAGTCCCGATATTTGGGGCTTTGTCTTATATAGGCACCAATTACTCCCACCTAGGGTGACCAAACAGCAAGTGTGAAAAATCAGGACAGGGGGTGAGGGGGGTAATAGGAGCCTATATAAGAAAAAGACCCCAAAATTGGGACTGTCCCTATAAAAGTGGGACATCTGCTCACCCTACCCCAACCCCCGTCCTGATTTTTCGCACATGCTATCTGGTCACCCTATCCCCAGCCCAGCCGTGTGTGACCATTCCAATCCTGGCTGGCTGCTGAGGAGGTGAGTTACTTTCACTTTCATTCCTTCCCCTGCCCCCCAGCACCTCACCCAACCCAACCCTACCGGAGGGGAGGGGGGGAGAGAGAGAGGGGTGCTCCTTGGAGGGGGGAAGAAGAATGGACATTATGGGGGACAACAAAGGATACTGGTGCCAGAGCCGCCGAGCCTGCCTCACCTCACGCTGGGGGAAAGTCACACTCACAGGTGAGTTCCTTCCCCCACTCGTACCCGTACCCTTCCCAGAGACCCCAGCAGCCAATCCCCTCCCTCAGACTGTGCTGCATTCGGCTTTCTCTAGGACCCAGCAGCCCTGCTCTTACATGCTCCACTGCTTCCCGTCTGTCCAGGCTCTGGGCAGAGCGGTAACCCCAGGTAGCCTGGTGCCCTAAGTGGCTACCTGTTCTGCCTATGGCTAAGGACGGCCCTGTATGTAACCATGTTTCCAATATGTCTACTTGCCGTTACTTGAATCTCTGTGTTCTGTTAAATAAACTCATATTTGATTTCACTAAAAACATATCTAAATGCTGTGAGTTAAGCGGAGTGGTGATCTGAGTGGAACTGGCAAGCTGGGATGTACTGTTTCGTCTTTGGAAGCAGCAAATCCATGAATACTGTGAGTGTCCAGGGAACCAGGGTCTGGACACTCCAGGGAGATGCTCAGAGGCCTCAAGCGTTGGGGTGTGCCAATCACTTAACTGTAGAATAACAGCAGGGCCTGCGGTCTAGAGGGGAGTGCTTGTGTTGTCAATGGAGCTGGAGGCTGACTCATGGCAGGCGCAGACAAGGCTTCCTCACACTATGGGCAGGTGGTAGCCAGGTGCCTCACAACCCTGGGTACTCTTGGAAAGCATCACACGTCAATGCAGCTGGGGGTTTGAGAGGTCTGAGGAACAGGTGTTGGGATCTCGGGCAGCTGGACTGCAGTGCCATTACCCAAGGAAGGGTTCAGAGATCTGTGCCTGGGGGTGTGCCCTAGAATTACAGACCTATAAACAATACATGTACCAGGGGACTTAGAAGCATCTGGGGTCCAGGACTGGATCTGCTTACAACAGATTGGTGACTTTTCCAGAAGAGAGGACCGGGCCAGGTTGTAACATTAAGTATCACATTGACTTGCAAGTGCTCAGCATCTATCAGGATTTGGCCTTTAGTGCACAGGACACATTTTATTTAAGTTTCTCTTGACAGTAGAAACACCTACAACACATGGTTTGCAACAAAATAATCACAAATTGTGAGCCAAATTCTGACATGCCCGTATCTATTTGGCAGTGTTGTGAGTTCTCCATTTTATCTGAAGACTTGCCATATTTGTTGTTTTTATTAATCCCCCTAACCTGGAGTCAAGTCATTACATGAGAATCTCAGGTTTCAATTAAAAAGAAAAGGGGGGGAGGGCAAGGCCCCAATCCTGAAACTGCTTCTGCACGTGCTTGACTTTACTGCTGTGAGCAGCAGTGACGGGCAGTCTCATTGACTTCAAGCAAAGGTAAAGTTACGCAGGTACATAAGTGTGCGTAGGCAGCATCGGGACTTAAGTTTCTAGCCCTTGGCGTGGCACAGAAAAGCTTCAGAGCATGGCCCACGCCCGAACCCCCGGCTCCCTGCCCCAAGCGGGGGAAAAGGGCGCCTGAAAGAGCCGCCTTCCAACTGGGATAAAATGGGGGATGCACGCGCGGTTAGTTTCAGTTGAGAGCGAACTACAACTCCCAGCATGCCCCGCGCCCGCGCATCCTCCCTACAGCGATCGGCGGGCGAGGCTGGGCTGCTGCGGGGCCGGGGCTCGGCCCGTTCCGCGGGGGAGAAGGAACGAGCTCGGCGGTAACCGGCCCGGCCCGGCGCTGCAGGGTGGGGCGATGGTGCCGCTGTGTAAGTGGGGGTGGGGTGGGTAGGCCGGTGTGTGCTGAGCCTGAGCCGCGCCGCGCCGCGGGGGGAGGGCTCGGAACCGACCTTCCCTGCGGCCAGGCCAGGCCGCGGCAGCCGCTCCCCCCTGCTGGGGGCAGAGCCGGGCCCGGGGGCGGCAGCGAGACCAGAGTAGCCGGGGGAGGGGCTGGATAGTAACCACCCGCCTCCCGTCAGTCGCTGTGGCAGAGCCGGGCTTCCCCTATTCGGAGGTCTGTACAGTAGCAATTAGACTTTCAAGGGCCGGTGGGTTTTTGTTGTTGCACCTCTTGTTATCTTTAAAAAGACTGAAAGGAAATGGTCAGGTCAGATTTAGCTCAAATTCGGGTTTTATAATCAAACAAGATCAAAAGATCGTGGGTGGGAGGAGGAGATGAGAACTTTTGATCAAATAAATACTCCACCAAACATTGCAGTGTTTTGCTGATGCTCTGTTAAAGTGGAGAACCAGCGTTCACCTTTCTTTTATCTTTTCTATTTCAAGTTGGCCAAAACGTTGCATGTTTTTCTCTTTAGTGCAGACTTTACAACAATGATTCATGTTTTGTCATCGCCAACAGAGGAAGGATGGTCCAGTATTCAAACCAATTGTCACTAGCCTAGGATTTAGGAACCCTGGGTTCAGGTCCTTCTTCTGCCACAGACTTACTGTGTGACCTTGGGCAAATCATTTGGTCTCTTTGAAGGAAAATTGTACTTCCCTATATCTCAGAGTTTTTTTTAAATAGATTAAAAAGATTGTGAGGTGCTAGATGCTATAGTAGTGGTTCCATATAAGTACCTAACAGATGAGTGCACTATGCTTTATTTGGGGCTGTATCTTCACTCCATTGGGAAATTGCATCCGGTACAATTTACAGCAGTTTACTTGTATTTCACAGTGAGCTGCTGCCAGTGCTTTGAGATCTGCACTGCCTGCTTATGGCCTGCACTTTTTCTGCTGTGAGAGATCACCTCTCACCTTGTGCAATACTGCTGTAGTTGAGAACTGGAAGTACTGGAGGTGGAGCTCCCTTGCTATATATAAAAGACAGGGCTATGAAGTGTCATGTATTTCGTATTGCAGTCATGCTTTTGACAGCCATGTCGTGCATTCCCACATCTTACCTGAAATGTCATTTGTCTAGGTGAGCTGTGGGAAGGCAACAGGCATTCGACTGCAGTTTTGTATTTTGGTCACTAGACGTGCCTGTGGACTAGTCACTAGGCAGTTAATTGCCGCCTTTTTTGCTGTTCCTTCTGTTTGACCAGGGCCAGGAATGAGCAGCTGGAGGAGGAAGTGCAACAGCAGCAGATAAGGTGAGGCCTAATACTGGCCCCTAGCTTCCCAGCGGTTCCCCACACCAGGCTCCCACCTAGCTACAGTATCCCTTGCTCCCCATGACCATCAGCACCCTTGGTCCCCAAATCCCCAGTATCATTCGTTTTCCAGCAGCCCCAACCACCCACCTAACTTCCTACTTAGATTCCCCCACTGGTACCCAGCTATCCACCAGCCACCCTCAAGTGAGCATCCTCACCAGCCAGAACTGCCAAGTTTTGTTCAGCTCCATGCCTCACTTCCAACGCTGCTCAGGGCAGTATTGAACATAGACTCAAGATTATGGTTTATGCAAATACTTTGTATATACATTAGAACCTCAGAGTTACGAACACCTCGGGAATGGAGGTTGTTTGTAACTCTGAAATGTTCATAACTCTGAACAAAACTTTATGATTGTTCTTTCAAAAGGTTACAACTGAACTTTGACTTAATACCGCTTTGAACCTTTACTGTGCAAAAGAAAAATGCTGCTTTTAACCATTTTAATTTAAACGAAACAAGCACAAAAACAGTTTCTTTACCTTGTCAAAACTTTTTTTAACTTTCCCTTTATTTTTGTAGTAGTTTACATTTAACACAGTACTGTACAGCAGGGTCTTCTAAACACACTTTTTGCTGTTTATAAATGTTGTATTAATAACAAACCTTTTGTTTTCATAAACAAGGTTCTTTGCACCATAAAGTAAATATTTACAACTTTTCCTCATAGATTCTTTTTCATCAAAGTAAGGAAGAACAATGGGAGTTCAAGGACTTTGGAAACTGCTTGAATGCTCTGGAAGACCTACAAACCCAGAAACTTTGGAAGGAAAAATTCTTGCTGTTGGTATCCTTAAAACCTTGAGTTGACCTACTGTTGCTGAAACATGCTGGTCCATCTGTCCCATTGTGAAAAGATGCAGAAATATCCTGAATTGACCTTACCAAAACAATCCGCTAGGACTAGGCATGGTACAGGTATAGACCCTGTGAGTTTGACAGATGAAATCTTATGATTGGAAAGATCAAGTGGCAAGGAGTGCTTTAACCAGTTTGGTCTTTATATCTTATGCACAAATGTAGAAGGAAATGTCCCAGTAAAGGGTGTGCAAAGCTGAAAGGGACTGAATTCATTCTGTATGTAGGGTTTCACCTTTGGCTCATGCCAAAAGAGGATGAGGTGGAATGCTGCATCTGATTGACCCTAGCTCTGTTCCTGAAGTTTTTCTACACATTAAAGTGCAGTCTGTTAATAAAAGGCTTTTCAGTATTATCAAAGACACATTCTAAGTCTCTATATTAAAGTCATGGTTCAGACTGAAATGAGTTACGCTGCAGTTTAGCCAAATGGTACAGAGAGGAATTTCAAAACCCTGCATTATCTCAGGAAGAGACATAGGCTAGGTTTTTTTTTAAAAAAAACTCATTTATAACATGGCATGGTCTGGCCTACCTGGCTGGCCAAACCGGTATAACTTAGTTTGGATATGGCTGAGTTTTTAAAAAAATAAATAGATAAATGCTATATAAACCACTTATACCACACTCATCATCTGAGCATCAACGCATGGTTGCAAAGCATATTTGTTTCAGCACTCTAAATGGGGCCAAAGGGAGTGGGATTCTGTAACAGTTTTGCTTAGGACAGATATACTGGCTGAAAATTTATCAGAGCATGCATAGGACACCTCTTTAGAAAATGAAGGTGTATGTATATGTGTATAAATATATTTATATTTATATATTTTTTGGAACAAAAATGAACCCTTGCCAAAATTCTGTGTATTTTATTTTTGTTATCCCATATATGGCATTGAAACTACCACTAATCTTAGTTATCTTCATGGTTTGACTTCAAGGATTACTAGTAAAAATGTAGGAATTAAGGGATGATAAATAAGAACAAACAATAATTAAACTTGTGCCTTTATTGTTCTAGATTCCTTACACAAACAAATGACAAGTTATAGGAGTCTGTATTTCATAAGCTCATCTGATGTCTGCAGTACTGACAGTCATTTGAACTAGAATACAAAAAAGGGGAAACTAATGCCTATCTTCTGGGTTAGGAAAAATCAGTTCAAATCATCTTGTTAACATGGATGAAAACTGGGAAGCTATTACAATTCATTCACTTACAGGAGCAATGAGGGTTGTTGTATTGGTTGCAGAGTGACTCCATTGCTGCTCTTTGGCTTGGGTATGGTGTTAAGAATTCTTTCCTCTCCCATTTTCACTATTCATTGGAGGATCAACCAGCTTCTTGTATACAAACCTAGCTACTTGGGCTTGGAACAGTAGACAAGATTTAGACCTAAATAAATTTAATATAGCTTGTTCATTGCATGGTTAACATTATGAAATGTGCTTGTAAGACTAGACATTTTTTTTTCTCTTAACTGTCCTTCAAGATATTAGCATTTGGTTGAATCAAGCGGTAAAAGGAGCAAGGGACCGTTACGGTAACACCATACAAAATGCTCACCTACTCACTTTGTTCCATCGACTCTGCAAGTTGTTATTTTTTCGAATCCGGCCTGTCTTCGTTTTTGATGGGGAGGCACCACTACTAAAGAGGCAAACTTTGGTTCGTATTTTTTTTGAGTAATTTTATGTTATGTTCCTTCTGGTGCTAAATAAGATGGAGATTTATCAGTAGGAAAGTTTATAGAGTAGGTGCCCAGTCCTGCATCTTTGTAGTGAATGGCAATTCTGCCACTAATGTCAGAGCAAGAATGAGCCTTAAATCAGCAACAGTAAGTGCAAAAACAAAGGCTCCTCTTATACATTGTTTCTGCATGAACATATGCATAATTCTAGTCTAAAAATTAGATTATAATGTTTAATTACTGTGCTCATGCAAGGGAATTGATATATTTAAACCAATCTCAAAAATTCTAGTTTCTGGGCATGTGTATCTTTAAATGGGTGAGTAAAATCTATAATTACCACAATGATTTTTGATGATAAACTAAATGGTGAGCAAGTCGATTTTGTGCCTGGGTTGGTAAGTTTGATACATTTTCATCTCAAGTTTACAAAGATAATTTACATGGTGAATCACTGCTGGTGGTTTGTTGTACAGAAGTGTGCAGAAATCTCATTAAGTTTACATAAGAACATAACATAAGAACGGCCGTACTGGGTCAGACCAAAGGTCCATCTAGCCCAGTATCCTGTCTACCGACAGTGGCCAATGCCAGGTGCCCCAGAGGACGTGAACCTAACAGGTAATGATCAAGTGATCTCTCTCCTGCCATCTATCTCCACCCTCTGACAAACAGAGGCTAGGGACACCATTCCTTACCCATCCTGGCTAATAGCCATTAATGGACTTAACCTCCATGAATTTATCCAGTTCTCTTTTAAACGCTGTTATAGTCCTAGCCTTCACAATCTCCTCAGGCAAGGAGTTCCACAAGTTGACTGTGCGCTGTGTGAAGAAGAACTTCCTTTTATTTGTTTTAAACCTGCTGCCCATTAATTTCATTTGGTGAACCCTAGTTCTTATATTATGGGAATAAGTAAATAACTTTTCCTTATCTACTTTCTCCACATCACTCTATCATATCCCCCCTTAGTCTCCTCTTTTCCAAGCTGAAAAGTCTTAGCCTCTTTAATCTCTCCTCATATGGGACCCGTTCCAAACCCCTATTCATTTTAGTTGCCCTTCTCTGAACCTTTTCTAGTGCCAGTTTATCTTTTTTGAGATGAGGTTACCACATCTGTACGCAGTATTCAAGATGTGGGCGTACCATCAGTTTATATAAGGGGAATAAGATATTCTCCATCTTTTTTTCTATCCCCTTTTTAATGATTCCTAACATCCTGTTTGCTTTTTTGACCGCCTCTGCACACTGCATGGACGTCTTCAGAGAACTATCCACGATGACTACAAGATCTTTTTCCTGATTCGTTGTAGCCCCCATCATATTGTATGTATAGTTGGGGTTATTTTTTCCAATGTGCATTACTTTACATTTATCCACATTACATTTCATTTGCCATTTTGTTGCCCAATCACTTAGTTTTGTGAGATCTTTTTGAAGTTCTTCACAGTCTGCTTTGGTCTTAACTATCTTGAGCAGTTTAGTATCATCTGCAAACTTTGCCACCTCACTTTTTACCCCTTTCTCTAGATCATTTATGAATAAGTTGAATAGGATTGGTCCTAGGACTGACCCTTGGGGAACGCCACTAGTTACCCCTCTCCATTCTGAGAATTTACCATTTATTTCTACCCTTTGTTCCATGTCTTTTAACCAGTTCTCAATCCATTAAAGGACCTTCCCTTTTATCCCATGACAATGTAATTTACGTAAGAGCCTTTGGTGAGGGACCTTGTCAAAGGCTTTCTGGAAATCTAAGTACACTATGTCCTCTGGATCCCCCTTGTCCACATGTTTGTTGACCCTTTCAAAGAACTCTAATAGATTAGTAAGACACGATTTCCCTTTACAGAAACCATGTTGACTTTTGCCCAACAATTTATGCTCTTCTATGTGTCGGACAATTTTATTCTTTACTATTGTTTCAACTAATTTGCCCGGTACTGACGTTCGACTTACCGGTCTGTAATTGCTGGGATCACCTCTAGAGCCCTTTTTTAAATATTGGCGTTACATTAGCTATCTTCCAGTCACTGGGTACAGAAGCAGATTTAAAGGACAGGTTACAAACCCTAGTTAATAGTTCTGCAACTTCACTTTTGAGTTCTTTCAGAACTCTTGGGTGAATGCCATCTGGTGAATGCTATCAATTAATTCCCAAACCTCCTCTAGTGACGCTTCAATCTGTGAAGGTTTCTCAGATTTGTCATCTACAAAAGCCGGCTCAGGTTTGGGAATCTCCCTAACATCCTCAGCCGTGAAGACTGAAGCAAAGGATCCATTTATTTTCTCCGCAATGACTTTATCGTCTTTAAGCGCTCCTTTTGTATCTCGATCGTCCAGGGGCCCCACTGGTTGTTTAGCAGGCTTCCTGCTTTTGATGTACATAAAAAACATTTTGTTATTACCTTTGGAGTTTTTGGCTAGCCGTTCTTCAAACTCCTCTTTGGCTTTTCTTATTACATTTTTACACTTAATTGGGCAGTGTTTATGCTCCTTTCTATTTACCTCACTATGATTTGACTTCCACGTTTTAAAAGATGCCTTTTTACCTCTCACTGCTTCTTTTACATGATTGTTAAGCCACGGTGGCTCTTTTTTAGTTCCTTTACTGTGTGTTTCTTAATTTGGGGTATACATTTAAGTTGGGCCTCTATTATGGTGTCTTTAAAAAGCGTCCATGCAGCTTGCAGGGATTTCACTTTAGTCACTGTACCTTTTTAATTTCTGTTTAACTAACCCTCTCATTTCTGCATAGTTCCCCTTTTTGAAATTAAATGCCACAGTGCTGGGCTGTTGAGATGTTCTTCCCACCACAGGGATGTTAAATGTTATTATATTATGGTCACTATTTCCAAGCGGTCCTGTTATATTCACCTCTTGGACCAGATCCTGTGCTCCACTCAGGACTAAATGGAGAGTTGCCTTTCCCCTTGTGGGTTCCTGTACTAGCTGCTCCAAGAAGCAGTCATTTAAAGTATCGAGAAATTTTGTCTCTGCATTTCGTCCTGAGGTGACATGTTCCCAGTCAATATGGGGATAATTGAAATCCCCCACTATTATTGAGTTCTTAATTTTGATAGCCTCTCTAATTTCCCTTAGCATTTCATCATCACTATCACCGTCCTGGTCAGGTGGTCGATAATAAATCCCTAATGTTATATTCTTATTAGAGCATGAAATTACTATCCATAGAGATTCTATGGAACATGTGGATTCACTTAAGATTTTTACTTCATTTGAGTCTACATTTTCTTTCACATATAGTGCCACTACCCCCCTGCACAACCTGTTCTGTCCTTCCGATATACTTTGTACTCCGGAATGATTGTGTCCCACAAGTTTGGGGGTCCTTTGTGCTAGGTACTGTGCGGGTCAAATCAGTGGCCTCTGACCAGGCAACTGACATTGTGTGATGGACCTTGTCCCTGCATGGGGTCTCCATTAATTTAATGGGGATACCTCTGGAGATTGAAGTTAATGGGGGCCTAGTAGAGGGGGTTGTCTGCAAAGAATCAGTTGCAGGACTGAACCCTAAATTAAGACAAGACACAAGAAGTCTGTGTGAAAAGAGGAAGTAGGAGAGGAAGAATGAAGATAGCAGTGTCAGGGAAGTGTGCAGACTAACTGTATGCAGTTTACAAGGTTATTTAAAAAAAAAAATTCAGACATTGAGCATGACAAGAATCCACCATTCTTCTCAATTGTTTAAGTGAAGTACACTACGTATTAGAAGTCAGTTATAATTTCACAAGTACCTATATAATGAACCTGGGCTAACCCAGTTTAGTAGTGGATGACTTTCATTTCATAATCCTTTCCTGTTTTAATACCTTTGCAATTATGGAAAAAAAAAAAAGCCCTATAAAGATTGGAACTTATTTGTGATTGGGGTGAGGAATTATTTTACTCATTCCAGCACATCTCTCGCAGGGAACAATGCTTGCCATGTCCTGCAATGTTTCTTCTGAAGTGTAGCTTGGCAGTTTGAGCATTGGCCTGCTAAACCCAGGGTTGTGAGTTCAATCCTTGAGGGGGCCACTTAGGAATCTGGGGCAAAATCAGTACTTAATCCTGGTAGTGAAGGCAGGGGGTTGGACTCAATGACCTTTCAGGGTCCTTTCCAGTTCTGTGAGAGAGGTATATCTCCATATTATTAAGAAACTGGATCATTCATCTGTTCTGTTTTTTATAAAATGATTAGTACTAAAGTTAATTTTTTTTACAAAGAACTTGTATTTAATTCTGATTAATTTAAACAAGGAAATGTGATACTATTATGTGATTTGCTTCTCATCTTTTTCTTAGAAAGCAGGAAATCTTAAAAAACCCTTTTCAAAACCCAGGAAAAACCCTTCTGAGATGCTGTAGGTTCCAGATGTATGTATATGATCATAGCAGATTTGTGATAACCATGAGGGAGGAGGAAAAGTCTAGTAGCTTCCAAGATACCAATTTTAAAACTGGAAGTCAATGAGGAAAGATTGCAGGATTGGGCTCTCTTATAGATAATGATCTAGTTTCTAATATTTATGCAGGCATGATATGGAAAGCTCATGTCCATTAATATGAGAACCATTCTTTTTTTATAAAAAAAAAAAAAATCTGTCACTACAGTGTCTCAATTTACAGCTTACGTTAAGAGTAAGTCATTTGAAAAATATCTTCAGTTAACAAGAAATATCCTTTTAGTGAAATCTGATGTTACTCATTTCATGTTCGCAGGCTAAACGAAGACAGAGAAAAGAATTGGCAGTCAGGGACTCTAAGAAAACTACTGAAAAACTCTTGAAAACTTTCCTGAAAAGACAGGCTATCAAAACGGCTTTAACAGGCAAAAGGCAAGGGCAAAAGTATTATTTTCCTCTTGTTTGTGGCAGTTTTTGCTTAGATATTAATAACTCTTCCAATTTTTTCTTAAGCAATGAAGCCCTGCCCAGCATTTCACAAGTTCGAAGAGAAGAAATTGATGATATGTATGTATTGTCTTCTTTACAAGAGGAAGAAAAAAAGAGGTAAGCAATGCTAAGACAAGTAGCTCAGTCTGAGATGTTAAAATCCATATTGAAAGTTTTTAATGCTGTTTTTGAGATTGTTGATAAATCTACTTTGTTCTAGAGTGTTCCTCCATGGGATGCAAACTGTATTTACTTGCTGCTATTTATTTTAAGTTAACTTTGTTTCCGTGAAAGAGGCGGGGTTGATAGCCCTGGAGCCAGAAGCCCTCTGTTGTATCTATAGGGAAGTGACTGGTAGAGCAAGCTTTCCTGCACCAACCTGTACTTGTGCCTCCATCCTGATCTGAAGTGACTTCTGAAGATGAGAGGGCTAGATCAGTTTCAGGGCCTATTCAGTTGGCCCCTTTTCTGATCAGAGTAACCAGCAGGGGTACCTTTTATGTTGTTAGTTTTTTAATGTAGCTATTTCTGTGCTAAGAATCAGAATGAGGCCTCCAAATAACTGTCACAACTGACCTGGTTCAGACGTGACTGAGTATCTCGTTACCCAGTAGTGGTGATTTAAGGCTTCGATTTTTGTCATGGTTATTTCTAGTAAAAGTCATGGACAGGTCATGGCGGCTGGGCAGCTTGGGGGGCGGCCCTGCTGCTGGCGGTGGCTGGTCTGCTGCGGTGTCACGGAGGTCTCTGGAAGTCACGGATTCCATGACTTCTGTGACCTCTGTGACAATCATGGCTTTAGTGATGATCGTTGTATCCCATCCAATTCCTCTCCATCTTTTCTGCTAGCTTGTATCTTTTTTTAATTATACATTACAGATTAGTTAGTTTCTTAGTTTTCCTGTTCATAAGCAAGCAGTAAGTTAATTCTATTTTGCTTATTATAAAAAACTTTATTGGTACATTTGTTTAAAAAACCCTACAGCTTCCTTTTTGTCCACCTTGCTTACTTTTGTCATTTTAGTTCAGAAGACGAGGATGAAAAAGAGTGGGAAGAGAGAATGAGCCAAAAAAAAATATTGCAGGTAACTGCATTTGAATATCTTTGTAATTGTGAAATCTTTCAATCACTCACTTCAAATGGATAATATTAACAAGAAGAACCAACAAATATACTGGTTGGGGTGTGTAGACGTACCACACTTAATTCCTGGTGTCAAAATAGGATTGCCTGCCTAAGGGACCAATAACTTCTAAAATGTCTGATATCTTCCTAATCTCAAAATATAGAAATTAGTGCTGCCTCCTGGTGGAGAGCTGGAGACTCAATTTTCCAGTGTTTTATAGTATTTCTTTCTAAGGTGGTGATTCATGAAATATTGGACCATTTAGAGAAAAAATATGTTTTTGTTACTCTAAGTTAACTATGTAAAACATCACAGAACACTTTTTAGAAGAAATTAATATATGTACCTTTTCAGTCATTCTTTCTCTCAATAAAGTATGAGAGGATGCTGGGAGTCCCTCCTGTCAAAATTCACCATTTATTCATTTCAAAAACTTTAACTCAATTGGGCCTTTTCTTTTATCATTTTGTCCCACTCCTGTTGTCTCTGCTTCTCCCTTTGGCTCTCATTCCAACTTTTGTCTTTGTCCCTGCAACAAATGCTATCCCTACAACTGGAACTCTTTCAGCATGCTCACTCTCTTCAAACATTTCTTCTTCCCTTCTTCACTTCATTGAATAATTCTAAACCCTCACTTTTGCTCTGTTTTGTCTATCTGGGTGTGCTAGTCTTGTCTTATTTAGACTGTAAGGCAGATAATGTTTTTATTTATGGCCCTGATCATGCAGTCAGATGTGGTCAGTCAGGTTCTTGCATCCATATGCAGTGTGGCTCCGCATGGATGCAAGTGTCCACCTGGCAGGATTCCAATTGCAGAATTGGGAACTCTTTCTAAAATGTCATTTCTGTTGTTGGTGCTACCTAAAATCTTTGATAATATTAATGCTCATTGAGACTTTGTGCAGCTATTCAAATTCTATGTATTTAATTTTCAATAATATAGCTATTTATTAAAAAAAATCCTAGGTTACAACCATGTTTTAAAGGTCTATGTTTTGTGACCTGCTAGGGTTAGAAACACCATGGCACAGCAATAAAAATACTTTCAGGATAGGTAAATGTTTCAAATGACATTTCCTGGACTTGTGAAGAGAAAAGAGATGAATGGTTTCTTTTAGTAGGGCTTGAAAATGTTGCTCTTTTAAAAAAAAATATAAATATCTGGACATACACTGTAATTTATTCAACAGTCATGCACACATTCATACATACCTACATTGATATTGAAACACTTGTAATCCTTGAGTTTTCACAAGTAGATTCCATGCTTCCTTTCATCTCCCTTTTGGTAGGCTGATCTTCTGGGAAAGGATGAAAGAAAAAGAATGACGTTATCTGAGCAACATGCTTTTGTGAATGTCAGCATTATTAAAAGTTTGCTTTTATGCAATAATCAAAGATAATCTGATAATCTCTTTCACAAAACACATACCATTTTGAAGTAGTTTGCCTGCAAAAGGAGAAAGCAGATCCTTCTGAAGGCATGAAAATCAGAATCACTGTACCTGTAAGACTGGATGATGTGATTCATGCCAAATATATGATGAGCTTGTTGTAGGAAACCTGTTCTTTGACTCAGAAGTAAATTTCCCCTAATACTTTATCTATATAATTTGGCAGTTTCAATATTTGGCTTTGTTAGGGCAACAACTAAGTTTCCCTTCCTAGTGTGGTACCATATAGATAAAACAAAAGTAGGGCTGTCGATTAATCAGTTAACTCCGGCAATTGACTCAAAAAAATTAATCTTGATTAATCGCACTGTTAAACAATAGAATACCAATTGAAATTTATTAAATATTTGTAGAGGTTTTCTACATTTTCAAATGCATCAATTTCAATTACAACATAGAATACAAAGCGTGCGGTGCTCACTTTATATTTTTATTACAAATATTTGCACTGTCAAAATGATAAAAGAAATAGCATTTTTCAATTCACCTCATACAAGTACTGTAGTGCAATCTCTTGAGCATGAAAGTGCAACTTACAAATGTAGTTTTTTTTGTTTGTTTGTTACGTAACTGCATTCAGAAACAAAACAACGTAAAACTCTAGAGCCTACAAGTCCACTCAGTCCTATTTCTTGTTCAGACAATCGCTAAGAGAAACAAGTTTGTTTACATTTATGGGAGATAATGCTGCCTACTTCTTAATTACAATGTCACTTGAAAGTGAGAACAAGCATTCACATGGCACTGTTGTAGCCTGTGTCACAAGATATTTACATGTCAGATGCACTAAAGATTCATATTTTATTGTTTTATTTTTGAATGCATGGGTTTTTTTGTACATAATTCTACATTTGTAAGTTCAACTTTCATGATAGAGATTGCATTACAGTCCTTGTGTTAGGTGAATTGAAAAATACTATTTCTTTTGTTTTTTACAGTGCATAATTTGTAATAAAAATAAATATAAAGTGAGCACTGTACACTTTGTATTCTGTGTTGTAATTTAAATCCATATATTTGAAAATGTATACACCATGTATTCCATTATTGTTTAACAATGCGATTAATTGCACGATTAATGCTTTTAACCGCATGATTGTTTTTTATCTCTTGACAGCCCTAAATAAAAGCCTTGTTGTATTAACTTCTGCTTTGAGAGACTAAATACTGTATATTTGAGTTTCCATTTGGTTATAAGTGACTCTATGTATGTTTGTTGCCTTGATTATATGAAATCAGTGTTTGTAAGTTCTTTCATTTCTTACAGGAAGAATTCTTTGACAATCCTCATTCTGTAGACATTGAATCAGAAGACTTCAGCAGTCTGCCTCCAGAAGTGAAACATGAAATCCTAACAGACATAAAGGAGTTTACAAAGCGACGAAGAACATTATTTGAGACAATGCCAGAGGTAAAATTTAAAAAAGCTGATCGATTTTTTTAAAGCCAGTAGGATAGAAACTGCTGCCATTAGTGCCAATGAAGACTGCATTGGTATCTCACATCAAGAAATCCTAACTCCCGGTGCTATGTCAGAAAAGTGACTGCACAAAAATGTCAGGATAATGGTTCTCAACAAACTTGCTTTCTATATGTATTCAGAGTTTTAGTTTCTGACTTCTGTTAGAATTGCGGAGCCAAGATTGCTTTTATAATTTGCCCTTTCTTGCATTGTGGCTCAGGCATCACCACCGGAATTATTCTGTAATTGGAACTTAATGAATCTTATTATTTATGATAAGTCAGGTAGAAAGAAAACAACTTCACTTCCAGATCCCAAGTTGCATGCAGAGCTGGAAGTTGGGAAATATTTTTTTTTATTTGTAAATTAAGCAAATGGGTAAAAAGTCATTAAGAGACAACAGGAACCCTGCAGTGCCATTTTCAGAATCATATTTTGAGAGCACAACTATATTTTAAAGCTTAATAGGACTGTTTAGATGGCAGCTGGCATTGAAACCTGCCAGGATAGATGTCGTAATAGGCAACCACATTTAAATCACCCCAATGTGGGTTCCATTATAATTTTATTTGCTCTTGAGTTATGGACCATCTCTTTTAAATGATCAATTTTTGCTGGTCATGTAAGAGAGGTATCAGTGAATTTAAACAATGTTCCTAAGCATATTTAAAATAATAGCATTAAACAATGTCACAGTTCCAGGGCAGCTGTATCTATATTTCCCTTCAGTGGTACAGCAAGGGCACCCACTGACTGCTTCCAGCTGTTACCTTTCTGGGGGGAGACCTACATCTCTCTCCCTTCTGACCATGGTATTCCCAAGCTGCACAGTCCACTGTCTATTTCCCAGCACAGACAGGTTGCCTAAAGACATCTGCTTGGTTTCTCTTCAGAGACTGATAACAGAGTGATTGTCAACAGTTATATTATCCTATAGCACATCCTGTGCAAGTCTATTTTATTCTTAAGGTAAAACATAATAAAAAACAAACAAAAAGAACCTATACGCATGTGATTAAGCTTACCAGAATTAACTGCAACCCTAACCTGGATTCTGGCAGGCCCAGCCCTTGGAACCCTATCCTAAGAATCAGGGCCCTATATAGATCAGGGGGTTTAAAACCAGGGTTTTTTAATCCAAAAACCCTTTCTTTGACAGTTGGTCCCTGGAGAATCCAGTTGGAAGTTTTTTTTATATATATAAATCTCCAGGGGGGCTCATAATAGAGGAAGTACATTAGGACTCCCCCCACCCCCCATGAGAGAAGGTATTTGCAGTGTCACAGTAACACATACACAATTGCATTTTTAATAGAGTGTACACCAAAGGTGTCAAGTATCAGAGGGGTAGCCGTGTTAGTCTGAATCTGTAAAAAGCAACAGAGGGTCCTGTGGCACCTTTAAGACTAACAGAAGTATTGGGAGCATAAGCTTTCGTGGGTAAGAACCTCGGTGTTACCTCTAATTTGATAAACTTTATTAAATAAGTTAAACTATATCTTCATTCCATAAGGTTCAGGATATTACAGAATATTATCAGTCTGTCATAATAATTAACCTATTTTTATCCTGTGTTAATATGTTAGTCCCTTGTGACATTGCAGTCAGTAACAGAAAAATGTCCTGTGTCTGAAAGTGATGAGATGTAGAGAATTTTTTTTATTTTATTTTTTTGGTAACACAGCCCTTTCCTCCAGAGCCCAATGAATACATTTGCCTCAAAAATTCAGCAATTGCATTTTATTTAAATAGATTTTGGCTCATTTCATATTTAATTTTAAGCGTTTGTTTGTTTGTTTGTTTAAGGAGTCCAATGACTTCTCACAATACCAACTTAAGGGTTTGCTTAAAAAAAACAACCTCAATCGATACATAGAAAATGTGGAAAAAGAGATGAGTCAGCAGGACTCAGGCCATATCCAAACCCAATATGAAAACGAGGGGGGCTTCATGAAAGAAGTGGAAAGCAAGAGGGTAGTCTCTGAAGATACTTCTCACTACATTCTGATAAAAGGTATTGTAATGTTATCTCTTTACTTCCTGACATTTCTCACTGGGTTTGGGCACTCTGTATTGCTGTCTGTCTTGAATATACTGCTGAGAAATCTGAGTTTCCTGTACAGAAACATATACAGTGAAATCTTTTTTAACCAGCATACTGGGAGAATGGGGGGTGCCAGTAAATTAAAAATGCTGGTTAACTCAGAGGGAGGGGTTTGGGATGTGGGGCAGGGG